ATTAAAATATTATGCTATTTCGGAATCTTGTTTATATAAATATGAAGTATATGAGTTGAGTGGCCTTATTTAATGAATTGCACGTAATTAGACTCAAGTATGTATAGTGAACAGTTTGAACAAACCGTATCCTCAGCTCAGATGTAAGCCCACGTGAAACGAAGAACCCTGACGCATGTCAGGCATAAAGTTATCTTCTTACAACCACAGACAATATAGTTTTTCTCTCCAGAGAGCGCTTGGGATAGGACAGCAGTTTTAAACTTCCGAATTGCCAATAGAGTACACTACCAGTAGAATTTTAAGAAGAATGAAATGCAGCGGTCGGCATAAACAACAGTTTGGCAATGTTGTCGCGCGTACGCTCGGATTTATTTTGCACACTTTTTATCAATGCCTATTTTTGGTATTACTGTATTTACTTCCTTAAATGTATGATGTAGGTATTGATAAAAATGTTTTAAAGAGTCAAACGATATTCTTTCTGCAACGGTGTCACCATTAGGTTATTTAATCTTTTTTTTTATATTTGATGCCATAATTTTTATAAATTTATTTAACATATGGTGGGTACGTCGCTTAATGCAGGTATAGGGTTTTTGTTTGTATTTTGACACTCATAATTTTAATCATTAAAAATAGAGTAAAAAAGCACTTATAACTCGGAAAAAAAATAATTTTCCTTACACCCCTAGTTGTGATTGTCCGTTCTGCGTCGAATGCAAAAGATCCGAAGTCCGTATGTCGAAAATAAATTTCGGAAACAAGAGGTGTGTGACATCATACAGTAAAAATGATCTTAGAACCCGGAAACAGTACGTTGAAAATTAGATAAAAAAATCTCGAAAAACAAAAAAGTTAGTCAAAAATTGCAACAGCAATAGCAATTTTTGACTTTTTTGTTTGCTATCTCTGTAAGGGATCATCGATTGATTATTTTTTGCTTTTTTTAAATAATCTTCGTGTACAACCACCCTTTGAGGTTCCAACAATTTTATTAAATAACATTTTTAAGAAAATTAAAAATTAAAGATCTTTTCTTAAGGAAATTTTACATTGTTTAATTTTTTTTAACACCCTGTGTCACAAATATGAGCACTGCTAATGGTATCCATGATATGCACTTGTGACAAGAAACTGCAATTTTTTACGTGATAAATATGTAATCGACGCACAAATCTAAAAACATTAAGTTTTTTAATTATCTCATTCCAAGGCGAATTCATATAAAAACAAATAATAAATTGGTAAATTCATAGTTTGATTTATTTTATTTAGCATTTAACACAAATGTCATTTCCAATCAAAAGTTCATATAACTCATCAATTACTTGATTAAAAGCATTAAATTTATTTGTATGCCCAGTTATTACTTGGCAACACTGCCACCGCAAGAACTGCCGCCTATTACTGAGTAGAAGAGTTACCACTCTAAATTTTACAGCTGGATGCCAGCTCAGAAGAGCCTGCACCTTTTTCGGGTTGCCAGTTTCCAGCATTTAATACGCGGTCTGAAGCGATAAGCTATATTGTCTGTGCTGAAACTCACGGAAAAAATTATTTTGATCAAGCTGTATTACTTTTTACTTCGGAATATATCTCTTATTTTCTGGGCTTTATTATTTGTTTTATTACTGTCTCTGCTTCGAATTTAAATCGAATATGTATTATTTTAAAAAATATATATCTTAAATAAATATGCAATATTACATGCCTATGTATTTATCGTAACTGGAAGAAACACATTCTTGATATTAATATGTCATGCTCAATTTTTAAGTGGAGAAAATTCACATGAAATTATTTGTAGAATATTCTACCTTTAAACGCCATTTTACCGGAGTGAATGCGCTGGGAGATTAATTTCCTATATTATGTACTTAGTATAATCTAATAAGTGGAATGGAGGTACCATTACCGTAACTTTCGCAATAATGGAAAAATAACGATTGAGCTTTATTACCTGCCGGGTTTTATTATCCTTAGTTACCTTCTGTCTATAAAATTTAAAATTTGGAAATAAAGATATAATTTATCTTCAGCAAAATACCGTTTTTACTGCAAACAAAATATACTACCTACTTAGAATTGCTATTTTTATAGTATTTTTGAAGTGATGTTTCTTTTTCAAATTAATATAATTTTAGGCACTGTTTAATAACAAATATACAGAAAACAGACGATCTGATATTGATTTTAAAATACCTACATACATTTGAGGCATATATGAAGTATATTATACAGGTCCTGTCATCAGTACGTATTTCTCTCTAAAAATAATGAGCAGACGTTAATCGTTAAGACGTTAATGCCGTTAATCTGCAGGAAAATAATGTTTATGTTTAAATACTTCAGACCATAACAGCATACAGGCGTTACATTAACATCTGCACTTTTAAAAAATATATTTACAATCAGAGATAGACCAATCAGTCTTTATATCACTGTAATTTTGGTTGCATTGACTAACGTCAGGATATTGCTTTTTGGATAATTTTGAACCAAAATCACTTTCATTAAGCAAGGGTCTAAAACCACTCATTTTCATGATACAGGGAGTTAAAGTTTTGGAATATAACATATTTATTAAAATATATCTGAAGATTTGTTAAAATGGTTAATAATTTACTTTATTAAAAGTTAAATTCCATTGAGCTAATGTACAAATTTATCAACTGGCCGACATACTGGGAGAGACTGTCACTAAAAACTCCAGAATTTCTACGCCACTGAACAAATATGTTCAATTCTCAGTTTCGTTTCTAAAAAAATGTATGTCTCGTCTTATGTGAAATATGAGGCATTTTCGAATTACTATTTAATAAATTTAAAATAAGCTATTTCTCATAAAAAATATAAAAGAATTTTTTATTATAAATACAGCTTGAAAGACAATCAGGAATAGCGATGGTTCACAGCTCTCAAAAAGATGTGAAATATCTACCTAAAAAGTATATTTTTTTGGTGAAACGAATTTTTTAAGAAATATCTGTAATGCAGAATGTAAGTATGACTGCCATAATTTCAGCAAGAGATAGAGTAATCATAAATGAACAAAAAAGTTGTATATTACAGAGGGTAAGAATAACAGTTTTCAAAATACAGCGAGTATTAATATTGGGGAGTTTCATCACAACATGACAACAGCGCTACACAGCTGATGTACACCACGCGTGCATGAGGCAGACTTGTCCTACGGAAAAAATGTAAACTACTATTATTGCGAAACATTTAGTAAATTTCAAGACAATTTTTTTCCAGTTAGTAAGTAAATAAAATAAAATGTATCGATTTTGTAATACGAAGATAGTATTGTGCATAAATTTTAGCTCGAATTTTAGTAATTATGAATCTCTTAAAATAGGAACTTAATTTTTAATAAAATTATTAATTTGAAAAATATGTAATTAAAGTACCCAAAGATTACCAAAAAAACACCTCAAAAAAAAAAGGATATAGTGGTACACTCCGACACGGTCCAATTCCAAATACCAACATCAACTGAATTGCATATTGCTGGATAGCCTAGCAATACCTCGTGTTAACCGCCGCGCCGTTGCCACATTGCTCGATATGAATTTGATCGATTTTTAAATTTATTGCAACGCAAATTAATTTTTTTTCTCGGAAATGGTTGAGTTTAGGACCCACGTTATATAAGGTTTTTTTGTTTATTTTAATGTATTCTATCGTCTGTTAAATTAGGACAGTCAAACTTGTAACACCCTATATACAGAATGTCTCCGGAAGGGCTACCACACCCTTGTAAACTTTTTTACTGCTATATTTTTAGAAAAAAAGTTATTCTTCATAAAAAGTTTTGCTTATCTTGGGAAGCCATGGACAGTACTCAAATATATAATAAAACTGTATGTCTATATGGGCTTCCAAAAAAATTCAAAATGTGAAATTTTCCTTAAGCAGTGTTTTCGTTAAAAACTGTATTTAACAAAATCTTACTCTCTACATATGGTATGTTCTAATTTATTATTTCTTTCTCTTTTATTTGGTTTGCAGGCTACCTAGCAGTTGTTAATGGTAGAACAATTTCCGGATCCGATTGCAACGTCGCCTTCGTCGGTTTAGGTTTCTTGACGTTTCGAGAGATATATCGCTTCTTTCAAAAACTCGAAAACTTTCTTGTTACTCCTGAGGCAGAGAGTGATATGTCTCCAGAAACGTCAAGAAACCTAAACCGACAACTTGGCAAGCAATCCGGAAATTATTCTACCAAACTATTTTTATATTATATTAAATTTAAAATAAAAATTTACTTATTTTTTTTACAATGTATGTCTGCTTTAAGTAAGAAGTTAAAAATCTCGTCTTCTTATTTGCAAAAAAAGATTATTGTCCTTTTCTGAATAAACCCCGTATTTAAGCATTTCTTGAGCTCTGGATCAACTCTTTTAAATACAGTTTTTAACGAAACGAACAAAAATTGAAGGCCCTTTTTGTAAGAAAAATTTTACATTTTGGACGTCCTATGTGTTTTATTACATATTTGATTACTGCTTATGGCTTCCCAAGATAAGCAAATCTTTTTATCAAGAATCACTTTTTCTCGAAAAAGCAACGATAAAAAAATTTATAAGAATGCGGCACCCCATCCGGAGACACACTGTATTTACCTGTATGATAAGTTACTTTAATTTAAAAATTAAATTATTTTAAAATGGTTAGTTTTTCGAATAAATTAGTAGAGACATTCTATTGTGCAGAAATTTTAGGGTTCTTAGTGTCAGTGTCTCTCATCAGTGTTTGTCAAATTTGTATGTTTGTAACAATTCAATGATTATTTGTATAAATCGTTAGTTGAAACTGAAACTCAAACTTCAACGTATAATTTACATGCTAACTTCTAATTAACCCAACTCATTTTAATAGAATTGATAAGAAATTCGTTGAATCGTTTGCTATTGTCTTAAGTTGGTTATTGTGGAAATGATAAAGTTTGCTGCGATCATTATTGCCCACATTATTCAATTTAATCCCTTCAGCATCAGCATCTTCAGGGAACTGGAGATCTCTCTGAAGCCGTTTCACTGGATAATTCCTTATTACAAACCCTCGGCTTGAATCCGCAGGGACTAATAGAGAACAGAGCAGTGACATCATGTCTTCCTTCTTCGCCTCTTCGTAGTACATTCAATCCAGGCGGAAACGTGTTCAACTTTCCATATCAGCCGCCAGTTGACACTCCGTCGTTCGAGTCGCAGTTACTACAAAGACTGCAATCTCTGAATGCTGCCTATAATCCACCCTCACCTTTCGCTTACAATTACAATCAGACTCTGCCCTTCTTATCATCGAACTTGTACAGCCAACCCCTCCTAAACAACAGTTACAACCTACAACAGCCACCACAAAAGAAATTGCAGCAATCTCCACTGACAATGAGGCATTCGTACGCGGGAGCTGAAACGCGATTAAGCCCCGCAAGGAGCAACGAGCAAGTTTCGACCCCCCAGTATCAGAACCAACAGAACTCGGTGCAAAGCCAGCAGCAACCGAACTCGCCTTATCAGCAGCCGCCGTCGAACAACCAAAATCAGAGCAGTCAGCACTTGCAAGTACATCAGAATGTACGCCAGCAACGAGAGACGACGCCCAACCCGCATAATTCTCCGCAAACCGAAAGAAGAGAGAGTCAATTTATCAAGCCTCTGGCGCAAATGGGAACGCTGACGACCACCGACACCGAGGGACGGGTTAGAGTTATCGTTCCAGTCCCGTCCAATTCCAATGAGGATGCGGGGGCTTTATTATCTAATTTAAGAATAACTGACGATTTGAGACTTTTAAACGGACCCCCTATTACAAGATCGACTAGTGAGAAAGTGCCGAATAGAAGCGAACTTATGTCTCAAGTGCAGCGGACCGCTTGGGCGAGGCATACAACTAAGTAAACCAATCTGCACAGGGTAGGCCAAACAAAATGACCCTTTACCTATTTTTTTCAAGCGATAACAAATATAACAGATATTTATTTGTAACTTTGATCTTATTTATAATTAAGTAGAAACATTTTTTCAATAAAAATTTTATGCGTTAAATAGAAGTTCAATAAAATGCTTATGTAAACATCGTTTAAACATCGAAATTCTGAACAAAGAGTTTATAAAACATCTTAACAATCTTATGTCTTTCAACATGTTAAATAATAACATTATCCTAAGGGCGACAGACCTATGTGAGCCATTGTCCTCGATTGTGTGACTCTTGCATCCAGCGGCTACAGCCGATTTTTTGTGCATCCTCATCGACTCCATCTCTCCACCTCTCCATCTCTCCACCTTAATTTTAGCCTTCGTCTTCTAACACCTACTTGTTCTGAGACCATGATCCTCCTTGTGGGATATTTGTCGTTCGCCCTATTTATATGTCCCGCCCACCTGAGTCGTTCTATTTTTATGTATATTATTCATAGACCTATACTACATCTCTATTCTTATATTTTTCGTATAATTCAAAGTTGTAAGGCCGGCACCACGCCCCGTTGTCACACACTGCACCGAATATTCTTCGTATTACTTTTCTTTCGAAGGTTAGAAGTAAGATTAGCTCCATGTTTTAGATCCATAAATCAGTATCGGTATTGTAAAGCATCAGCTTTGTTTTGAGCGATAGCACTTTGCTTCTGAAATGTCTACTAAGCCCAAATAGCATTTGTTGCCAATTTTTGTTCTATGTTTTATTTCCTGGGATATATTGTTTTCATTACTTCTAAATTGTAGTCATCTGTAGTTAGGTTTTGGCCTGTTACCTGGTGTTGATATCATAATCTTAGTCTCCTCCTCATTAATCCTTAGACCCATACTCTCTGCTGAAGTAACCAGTGTCCCAAAGATATCTTTAGCTCCCTTCAATGTCCATGAGACCAGATCTACGTCATCTGCGTATACCATTACCTGCATGCTCTAATTATATATTGTTAATCGGTTGGTCAGTTCTGTGTCTACTTTTTCTAGTGCCAGATTGCAAAAGAGACAGCGCATCCCCTTGTCTGAGCCCCGTATTGCTGGTGAACCACTCTGATGTCTTATTTTGCGCTTTTACTTTGCATGTTACTTGACACATTGTAATTTTTACTAGTTTTATTAGCTTCGCAGGTATACCTAGTTTCCTCATGGCCAGGTATAGTTTGGTTCTAATGATGCTGTCATAGTACAAAAATCTGGTCGAGGGTAGATCTGTTAGGCCGGGAACCACTCTGTGTTCTCCCAATCTATCTTCAGTATAAGTCTGTATGTAAAATTTTAATACACCATGATCTGAAACTATTGCCATCCACCCATGCATATTGAAGATACATAGGACATCTAATTACAAAGAAATATTTGGACTACATGTTTTTGGGGTAGCTGAATCCAAATCCGGTGCCCTTTTGACCCGATTAGCTCTAGGTAAAGATCAGTTCAAGGTCAAATGTGGAGAATAGTAAATCTACATATCTATACATTTTTGTGGTCACTGAATTTTAACCACGTATTTAGCTTATCAAAAGCACCAATTTTCGTCTAATAATTTTTTTTTTTTAATTCACGTTACTATTCGGTATTATTTCCCATTAAAATAATGTTAACGGAATTCGAATGTTTTATGTGTTATTTATTAAATAACTAACTCAACTAAATGTTTAGACTTATAGTCCAGCGACGCCCAACAAATATTTAAAATATTTTAAAATTATATTATTTTAAAAATTTAAAAATATTAGACAAAGTTGATTTTGATGATTTAAATGTGTGATTTTTTATTTAATTCTGAGACACCATGTATGTAAATTTTGAAAGCGACACTAAATTCTTGTTTAATTAAATTTGAAGATCCCTAACATGAAACCGAAAATTTCTCTGTAATGGGTATGTTTCCTAGCGTAGTGCTACAAATTCAGTGGTTGTAGGTGTTACTTTGTATGAAAGCATGACTTGTACAACTCACTTTTTCAGAATGTTGCTAATTTTCAAATATTTTGTAAAGAATACACGTTCCTTCCCAGTAACATTTTAAGACAATTTTTTAGAAGTTATGTTATCATTCTAGTACATTTTGTATTGTAAAATTTCATTTTATATAAAGAAAGCACTTTTGTTAAAATTCTCCAAAATGTGAACCAATTTCATCGTATTCTACCACTTATTCTAGTTTGAGTTTTTTTGTGCAAAATTAAATTGTCGTAATTCTATGTAGAAAACCAATAGCACCAAAAAAATATAACTTAATAGAGTGGCCGCATCATAGCTAATGATATCTACAATGAAATACTAAACTGATAAAATAATACGCTAACTTCCAATGCAACACACAATAATTAATTATTAATTTGATTATTAAAAGTTATTCCCACCACCCGTTATCTCAGTAACAAGGTCTTTAGCAGGATAGGAAAAAAAGTGGCTCGTATTTTGATGTTTTATGGCATATTTCTGCAAAATACCCTATATACATATTGGAAGTATCAGCACATTGCTTTTTTAAAGTTTTATAAGCGAGATAACACAATAAGGGCTTAATATGGCCTTTTGTAGCATAAAATACTTACATTTTTCACAGACTGGGTGAGATTTGTCTGCTTTTATCACCCTTTCATCCCATTTATGCAGCACATTTAACATTCATCATTTTCCATTATCGTCCAAGAGGTGGCCCATTTTTTAGTCTAAAATTAAATCTGACATAAAAATCGTTTTATGGAAAATAACTGGTTGAACTATAAGAGATTTCCTAATTTTATTGCTAACATAAAAATATGTATGTGTTCTCTAGAATGCAATGAAAGTAATCAATGTCAAATATTTCGATTAAGTACTGAGCTTCTAATGAAGAGGTACAAATGCGACAGTTTAAATAAATAATACATGAGAAAATATTTTAATTGTCTGCATAATTATTTTAAATGTCCTCGTAAAACCATATTTTCATAAATTTAAAAAATGGGCAATGCAAGGCATTTCTGCTATTTCTCTTTAGCATAAATTTTGTATAAACTTAAATAAAATATGTGCACTTCTTATTTCAATATGGTTACATTTCTGTTGCATAGTTTCACACCAAAATATCGTGTTTATTATTTTAGATTCGCATAAATTTCTCGTAATGTCTTTCAGTAATATATTATTTATAATAATCGTTACGTTTCTAGATTGATATGTTAATTTATGATCCAATTGAGTGATTTCCGTGAAGCCTCAATTCTTTGTTAATATTAAACATTAAAATTTATTATCAAAACTAAGTGCACGTATTCACATGAAAATGGTGAATATCCTGGATTATAAACAGAGCTGTTTTTTGGTTTCCATTAATATTGCGTAAAATAAAATATACAGTTCGAGAAGTACTTATTACCTTACTTTCTAAATATGAATAAAGAAGATGAGGATTTGGACTCGTAATATTGGAGATATTTGAGGTTTTGACAAATTATTTAATTGAACAATTTTTTTTTAAAACTTGTGAGACTTTTGACTTAATCCAAAAGTATTTTAAATGTTGTATATTCAATTTTTCTGGAACACACTTTTATTGCAGTCGCAATGTAAAAATAAGCTCAAATTATGTTACATTTTGAAAATAAGTTGCAGCTGTCACATAGGAGCTGACATGATTAAATTACCTTGATGGGATAGAAAACCTACCTATGTTTTTACTTATTTATTTATACAAAAATGAGAGAGGGTTATTTTCATATTGTATAAAATAAACCTAAATAGGTATTATAAATATAATTATTTATTTATATTACTGTAGTAAAAAATAGGTAAAGGGCCGTCTTATTATAATTTATTAAGACCAATTAAACATGTAAAATATTTATATTTATTTATGTTACATAAAGTCTAGTTAGTTACCTTAGGGTTTTATCCTACAATTATATTTAAATAACAGAAATCATAGTGTCTGAAATTATTTATTTGTAGCATAGTGTTCATTTTTTTCTTCATCTTTTGTTCCGCCACCTGTGAAAAAAAAATTTATTTGGCGCAAGGGGTTATTTCAGTAATTTTAAAATATTTTCACAATTGGCAAAACCCCCAAAAAATAAAGAAAAAACAGAAATCATGCTACACATTGTTTGTACGTTTCGTAATTCAATTCTAGATTTTAGTCCCAACTGTTCCTCTAGTCCTAAATTTATATTTTAATATAAATTTATGTATCTGTATTTTTTACCTATAATTAGAAATTTAATTTTAACAACATGAATATGAATATCTATCAAATATATTTTTTAAGTAATACTTATGTTTTTTTTTAGCTTAACGAACTATACGTACGTACCGGAAAAACCGTTCATAAAATTTATTCGTATATCTTATATATAAAATTCTCGTGTCACAATGTTCGTTCCCGTACTCCTCCGAAACGGCTTGACCGATTCTCATGAAATTTTGTGAGCATATTCAGTAGGTCTGAGAATCGGCCAACATCTATTTTTCATACCCCTAAATGTTAAGGGTGGTCCACCCCAAATTTTTTTTTTTAATTTTTTTGGACAAAATTTTTTATTTTTATTTTTTTATGATGTGGCTTTAAAAAATACATACAATCCTAAATTTTCACCCTTCTACCATCAACCCCTATTTTTTAATAGCGATATTAGTAATTCAATAATTTTCAACCCCGGTCGATAACTGATCAATTATCACTTGATCATTTTTTTATCCCCGCCAGGCGTCGACCGGTGTCACTTCTGACCCAGTAAACAG